ATCATTTGGAAAGCATTTCCTAGCAATTATTTTTTTTTATTGAAAACGGCTTCATATTCAGGTCATTGCCTTTGGCAGCATCTATAACTATAGGCAGTATTTGGAATAATTTTCTTTGGTTTTATGGTGTTTTTCTTGATTAATAATCTCCACTGATTGGAAGTGTGAACACGTACTTGTTTCATTGAATTTTTTGTTTCGTGAAATGTACAAGTCGATACACATAAGAAGCAGTAGTAATTTATTCCGAAGAATAATACGGTACTAATAGTCGAGAACACAGTCTACTGGAATAAGTTAATCGTAAAGTTCACCTCAGTCCTATTCAACTTCAGTATTTACCCGAAGCCTCTCCCACAAGGCGGGTGTGGCACAAGGCCGGTTTTTAACGTGTGGCATTCAGAGCGCGTACGCTCGGGCAAAATTTCCCCGTAGACCCCGCATACACGGTGTCGGTGGCTGTCTACCTCCCTAGACGAGACTTTGCCCTTTGGCATAGACCCGTCTAGGTTCCTCTCAGCCCGGAGGCAGAGAGATCGACAAGAAGTTCAGTTCAACTTCCACTCTCTCAGTAAGAAAGCGTGTTATTTATCTTTTTAGATTATTCCATCTTGTGAGGGGGGTGCTCCGGTACTCATAAAGAAGAAAGAGGGCTTGGAAAATTTGACACTCGCAGGACATGTTGAAGACAAGAGACAGAAAGAAACGTTGAGTAACCTGACGAACGAACTTGTATATATAGATGGCATAACAGGGATTAGGAGGGATAATAAAAAGAGTGGGCTAAAAAATATAGGAAAGTGTGGAGAACCATAATTGCTCACGGCTAGAAGGGACAAGACACAAGTAGATGAAAAGGATGAGTTTTCGTTTTTGAAAGTTTGCTCACGTCTAGGATTAATTTGGGTTGTTTAATGATCCGAGGTATAAACGATAGGATGAGATTCTTTATATTAATAACTAAACTTTTTGATCCTTCAATGTTGAGTCGCACTCGAAAATAGAAAGCCTTTATTGTTTTGTGAAGGAGATGCTTGTGTTTTGAATTAAATGAGAAATCATATAGAGGATTAAATGGAAAGTTTGGGTCAACTTGGACTGTGTTACGGCTTACCAACATTTACAGCATATTTGCCGTTAAATATGCTGTCTTTTTGATAAACAGTAGAAAGACAGTCATCGGTATTGTTTGTCAGAGAGTCAAAAAGGTAGATATGGGTTTGATTGTCACGAGTGTCTAGAAGGTAAACATAAGTTTTGTTTGAGCGAGAGTTAAAAAGGTAAACACCCGTGGGCTTTACTTGAGATTAAAAATGATAGAAATAGATTTGGTTTACTCTGCAGTGAAAAGTAAGACAAGTTTGGTTTATATGAGACTCAAAAAGGTAGACATGAGATTGGTTTGCACGAGTGTGAAAAAGGTAGACATAGGTATGGTAAGCCGGTCGCCAATTTTGGGGTTTATTTTACGCTATTAAATAAGGAATCCGGTTAGCCTATTTATGACCGCTATCAACAGGGCGATAAATGTGCAGGGTTTAGAAGTTTTACATAGTATTATATCGCTGATTTTTTTTTTCACTTCTGAGTTTTAGCAATGTTTCATGAGATTCTGTGTATATGTTGTCCACTGGAGATGTTTCAAGCATTCCAAGTACAGGTTGCATACATTAATAGTTGATCGTTTCGAAAGTTTTTAAATAATGATTTCTGGCCGATCTATAATGAAGCAAATATATTCCAGTTTTAAAACAGATAAAATATTATAATTTTTAGTCAGCTTTCTCGATCGGCTACTCTCTCTTACATTTATGTGCTGTAAAGTGTTGCTGCATTTGGATTTGATGTATTTCATGTGCAGGATAAAAGTAAGTTTTCAAATCATGAATAACCCCGATGAAATTGCAGGAGTATTTCTATTTCTTCAAGCTTGAGAATTGAGACATCAGCCATGTTTTCTCAGTAGGCAAAAATTAACATATTTTGTGTGTAAATTTCTTTGCAAATTTAAACCCATTTTCTGCTGTCTATTATCTTATTTAAGCATTGCTGCAATTGATGGATGGATGTTGATCTATAGCATCTCTGAAAAAATCATCGGCATACAGAGAGCATTCAACTCACTGATTTAGACATTTAACTATGTTGTTAATCTTAGTGTAATTAACAGAACTCTTCTTCGTGGAGTCTCTTACTCTTCTTGATCCTGAAGGTCGGAGGGGATAGTTCCTATACGAAGTTTCTTTCTGGCATTAAATTATTTATGAAACTTGTCAGTCTTGTTTCAGTCTCTCATAATATCATATTCCAAACTGCTTTTTGTATGCCTTTTACAAGTAAAAGAAAAAAAAGAGATCATTGTATTTCATTTCTTTTTATACATATGGAAGCTTCCTTTATGGATGTTTCAAAGCGGCCTATGGGATCAATAGTGCTTCTTTTGTTTCAGAAGCCACATTGGAAATCGGTGATAAGGCCGTTGATTTCCAGAAAGCCGGTCAATGCGTTTTTTATCATACGTACCATGGTTTTGCATGGGCAAACTGTCAGCGAAATCAGTCGATAGTTTTCTGAATCTGTATTGTGTTTTCTGGGTTTAGGAATAGGGGTTACAGTCATCTGTTTCCATATTTCTTGGAAATATCGTCGAAAGTGTTTAAAAGGAAATGTGATGATTTATTAATTCGTAGTGAACTTTACCCGGACCGACGTTGGTGTAATTAAAACTTTGGAATTATTTCATATACTGCTTAATTTGCACCTTTCAGTATTGCGTTTGATGCTAAAGAATTGCTACTATTATTACGGGAGATTTTTTTAATCGTTTCGCGATAATGCTACTAGAGCGCAGGGGTTACGAGGAGTGAAAGAGAATGGTGGGACAGGGGTGATTGAAGAAAGGATTAAAAAAAAAGGAAGAGGGATTAAGAGAACAGAAAATGGCGATTGACGTTGCATTTAAATTTTTGAAGATTGTAGTTATCAGGGAAGCATGAAATCGGAAGAGACTTTCACGGGTGAAAAGTGCGAGAAAAGAAACTGTTAGAAGTAGCAGTAGCATCTAGCTAATTCAACGGTAAAACGTTGAGACATAGTTGCCAATCTAATCTTCTTTTATGTGCCGTGTCCCTTAATGACGTAGGTAATCATGGCCCTCCACCTCTTCCTGTCCCTTGTAACTTAATAAGTTTTGTCTTTTTGTTATTTCTCCCAAACCCTGTTCTGCCATCCATTCATTGAAGCCCATCAAATTTTCATCTGTCCCTCTTTCCCTCAATCTGTACCCTGAGTATCAAAGTTTCCAAGCCCTCCTCCCTCATTACGTGCCACAGAACTTTCAACTGCCTCTTCCTGATGTTAAGTATGAGTTTCCTTTTTGTTTTCATTCTCTCCAAAACCTCGTTGTTGCTCATATGTTCGGCCCATGGTATCCTCAGTATCTTTCTGTGGAACTATATTTCTAATGCATCAAGTCTCTTCCTCATCTCTGAGGAGATTGTCCAATATTAACTGTCATACAAGAGGACTGATATCACATAACAGTTCAGTATTCTTTTCTATGTTTTCAACGAAATTTTTTCTGTCTTTGCTTAGCTTTTGTAATGCATCTTTGGTTATCCCAACACGTCTTCTGATTTCAGTGCCGCACTTTCCGTCCCCTGTTAAAACACTTCCCAGATATTTTACTGTTTCTTAATACTTTGCTTAGCTTTTGGAAGTCATCTTTCTCTATTCCAATGATCCTTCGTATTTCAGTGCCGCACTTTCCGTCCCCTGTTAAAACACTTCCCATATATTTAAATTCTTGTACTCGTTTGATTTTGCCATCACTAATTTGTAGTTTGCATGTAGGGCTATCTCTTTTGCTAACAACTATATGTACGGTTGCTTTAACAACAACAACTACTTGTAGGTTAGTGTCAATATTAATCTTCCTTTTAGGAATATCATTTTTAATTCATATTGATACACCTCTAGATTAAGAAAGCTGCAAGTAATTTTATTTTTTTATCGCTTCTGATATTGATCTAATTGTCTTGTTTCAGAAAAAAAAAACATTTGAAGTCACAATTTAAAAATGAATTATAAATAGAGCCCCATAAGAAATGCAGTCAGTTGCTTAGTCAGTTTGTGTTTAGTGATTGCCACATTAAGAAAAGACACATCTTGTACATATACCCGTGTGTAGGTTGTTAGTTTATAAACTAATGAACAGCCTTTAGCGAAATTGTTTTGAACTTTGACAATAAGTATTCTTCCGACTTATTTTTATCTCGTCTTTTTATTCTTTCAGCTTACTGCTGCTTTTATTGTTATTTTCATTACCTCAATTTTCCCAGCCAAATATCTGCCCTTCATTAAAGTAAATAGTGTGAAACCTCAATGATTTCCAAGAAAGACTGGAGGTTCACCGGGTTCAGGCTAAATCAACTAAAGTCACAAAGCCTTCCATATTATGAACTGCCGGAAGTTGTCAGTCATACAAAAAATTTTCCGGAACATTTCCGCTACCAGAAACACAGAAGTCATTATAAACTCCTTCGATTTTGCAAACATCTCTAACCTCAAAGTTGACTTGCGTTGTTAAGGATGGCTAATTGCGCTAATCATACCACCTTCAGGCTAGCGATGGATGATTGGCTATGATCAGTAAGATATTGAAGAGAGATACCAAAATTTGAGACAAAGTTTAGTTGAACAAGTTTAAAGATGTCACTAGGAAGAAAAAACTGATTAATCAGTTCGTTTTTTACAGCTTATCAAACTTTTACAGGTTATTAAAAGCCAGAAAATATTTTAAGATTGTAAGAAGTTTTTAGAGATAATAATGATTTACTGATACAAGTCCTACTAATTAACCCATAGCTGGAGGAGTGGTGTATTCATACCTTTCCCAAGGGGATTTGCGCCTAAGTGAATATAATGAACCTAACCGGAATTGCAGGTCGGCCCTCCAATTTCCAATTTTGAAATTACACCACCCACGCATCCGAGCTTAAAGCACCTGGTATTCCCAAGCGGTCACTCATCTAGGTATTGACCAGGATCAACATTACTTAACTTCAGTGATCAGACGATAATTGGTGTTTCAACGTGATTTGGCTGTAAGCCTAGGAAGAGAAAGACAGATCAATTTCGAATTGGGTCCCCTTCAGTAAAACTTTGAAACGGAGATTTTTGTCTGTTACCTACAAAATTCCCTTTTGACCTTTGTCAATGTGACCTGAGAAGCTACACGTTGTGCAATCATTAAAATTGTTCTTCTTAAGTAAGACAGAAGGATTGAAATCTAATAAAGAAATTTTCAATTAATTCGTCTACAAATCCCCAAAATTCTGCTCTGAAAATTATACCGACAGACTAAAGCATCACTCTTTCTCTCCCTCAATATGGAAAGCTTTTCCACATTTTAAAAACAAAAACTCTCAGCACAGACATTTCTCGTTAAAAGTATTGTTGGGGAAATGTTCTTTGAAACGTCGTTGGTCACCACTGTTGAGATCAGTCTACCCAGATTTTTGTTGCTATCTGAGTGTTGGGATTCCAAACATTTAACAACAACAACAACAACACACCTTTTAAATGGAACATACAAAATATTTTTTCCTGAAGGAAAAGTAGAAAGAGAACGTTAGTTGAAATAACATTTTTATTGTCTTTTCAGAAATATACAAGAGCAATAGAATGTTCAATTTTCCTTGCAGTGAAGTTTATTTTATATAGTAATTAAGTGTTCTTAGTGCGCTGTGAAATATGTGAATAGTTACCCTATAATGGTCAGCCTAATGTGTTTGTCAGTCCGTAGACAAAAGACTTAGTAGGCGGCTGCTGGTTAATGCTTTCTATTGTATGCGTAGGCAATGACTTAATCGGAGGTTGCTGGTTGTCGTATCTTCCATTGTGTACACACGTGCAGATCAAACTGGTCTTGGAAATTGATTTGAGCCCTAAGAAGTATGCTTCAATTTTTATATCTTCAAATGGATTCAAAATCTAATTTGACGTAAAGGTGTGAACTTTTTGAATAAAAGGTTTTCATTCGTTAGAAAATAATTTCACACTGGCTTGCGAAAATCTTTTTCTCGAATTTGTGGGAGTGATGAAGGGAGTTATTATTGTTATTTTCTAAATGGCCCCAAAATAAGGTCTACAATTACGTCCGCAAGTATTTTGATGACATTTTCCCTAGTAATGATTGTTTATCCAACAAATCTTCTGATGGAATTTTATTGGTTGAAATATATATATATATATATATATTTGTTGTTGTTAATAATTGTTGTGTAGGAACCTACCACCCCTCTTGAAGATGAACTCGTCTACAAACAAGGACGTTAAGAGTGGCATGTCAAAAGACAGTGTCGGAGAAGTTCTTGGGCTGAGTTAGTTATAGACTACTCAGGCGATATCTGTACCAACTTACCAACCGAATAAACCCCATTTTATTGTTACATGTTATTTGGCGTTCGTCTTTATTAACCCCAAATTAACACCATAACAATAATAATAATAATAATCTTCTTCTAAATATAAGAAACTATACTCGTTCGGAAAACCTTTGGTGTCTTGATTTGCAAATAATCAAACCAATACCAAAGGGGGAGAAAAAGCTATAGAAAAAGAAAGAACTAAGAACATGTACGTTAGCCGAAAATAATCGTCCAGCATGCAAGGCCAAGGCCCAAAGAAAAAAAACCCGATACGTGTACGCAAAACAACTAACTTCTTTCTTTACCTTTTTAACCAGCCTTCCCTGACGACCCGCTTAGGTGAAACCTTGGTAGATTTGTCTGGCTTTCTAGGTTTAACTATATATATATATATATATATATATATATATATATATATATATATATATATATATATATATATCCAAAAGGATAGAACGCAATGTCCAGGAGAGAGCAAGAATATAATATAAAAGGCTCAAACACTAATTCCAATTTAATTAATTATAATCATGGAATATTAGTGTTTGAGCCTTATGTGTGTGTGTGTGTGTGTATTTTAATATCCATGGTAGCACCACTAGAACATCTGTGTGCTTAAAGCATGTTGACTGACCGTAGCCATAAAGACACTAAAGTGGACACTTGACAACAATAGCAAAGACTGTGTTGTCCTGGGTAAAAAATTCACATTTATGCTGCAATACAAGTGACAATGATTGAATATTGCGATATCACGTTCTTTCATTGACTGATTTGTTTTTTTACTGTTTCAGAATCTTTTTTTAGATCGCTGGGGAGATAATGATTTACTGTCCTACTAATTAACCCATAGCTCGGGGAGAAGTGTTTGATTTATACCTGTCCAAAAAGTATTTGCTCATAAGTGAATATAACGAACGCAATTGGAATTCGACTCTCCGATTTCCAATTCCGAGCCATTATCCATTATTTTACCCGAATATCCAAGCTGCTATTTTCAAGCGGTTACCCATCTAAGTACTAATCAGGCTAAACCTTAAGCTCGAAACTTTGATGTTTCAACGTGGTATGGTCGTAAGTACACTCGTTTGACACTTTTGTAATGTCAATGAATACTCGTTGTCACTTTCGTAATGCTCTTTGTAGTAGACACATTTAATCGCAGATACAAACTATAGTAACGCCGTTGAACATTACTGGTGTCAGACGCCTTCGAATATCACTCGCACTAATATGTGACGTCGTCCCCCGGTCGCAGCGCCAGCTGTTCGCTCCTCGCTGCTCCGTTCGGGTGTCGCTGCTCCAAACGTGACGTCCGCCTGTCGCGTCAGTCGTGTTGTCTCGTCCTGTGACGACCAACTGGCTTGGTATCGGTCGTGACACCCAAATGTGACGTTCTAACCTTTTGGTGATTCGGGTGGGAATCTGGTTAGATTGGATATCAGCCTCGTCGTTCCCAACTCGCTTCCAACGCCTGGTTACCAAGGTAACTGCATTGATCTCCAGTCTGCCTACCCACGTTGTGAATTGATCTTAGGCAGACGAGATCGAACAGTGGTTGGGGCCGTAATGCAACTGAGTTCAACGGGGGTGATAACACACAAATATGCATAAAAGAAAAAAAATGAAAACTCAAAAAGTTCAAAGTATCAAAGAAAAAGGTAACAAACTTTATGTCTAGTTGTTCGATACATAGGACTGCATCTTTCTCCCGACCCGTTCTATGGATTGTGACACGTCGTTTTCCGTTAGGCGAGTTTTAACGCTTCAAGTTGTTTGCTCTCTAAGAAATTGGCGTTTCGGTGTGTCTTTGGACGAAAGTCGAAAAAAAAAACTTATTTCGGTAGTCTGGTTCTAAGTCGCTCTTCAAAATAATTGTTTTGGGGTTGAAGAGGAGTCCGGAATTTTGCGTGAATCTTGGTCAGCTATCTCGAGGCGGTTTCAACTGGAGACTGACTCTGGGAACTCAACTCTGGAAACTCGAGCCCAAAACTCTGGATACTCATCTCTGCCGCCAGAGCCCGAACTCTCTGAACTCAACTGGAAACCGCCAGAGCCCGAACTGATTTCTGCCTGTTGGGGCCCTGCTTTTATTGACGCCGACAAAAACCGGGTTGGGTCTGTTGGCGTCGGGGGGTTCCTCGATAATTCTAAATACATATCCACCACTTTTATTTCTGGTTAGGGATTTTCCACTCTTTTCCATTTTTGGTAACCCCTCCTCACTCCCACTTTCTCACCATACCTCTGAGGGGCGTGAACTACCCTCCCCACTTCTTCGTAGCAGCTTCTCATACTTATACTCTGGATGGGGCGTTGACAGCCTTCTTCGTGCGTCACGTGATTACTCTCGGCCAATGAGGTCTTGGTCGGGTATCTTTCCTCCTCCTTTGTGCGTCACGTGATCACCACCTGACCAATGATGTCTTAGTCGGGCGTGAACAATCCGCGGCTTTGTTTCGGGAAAAAAAATATACCTTGCTTAACTAAAAAAAAAATTAATTATCTCTTCTCTTTCCTTTTTCTTCCTTTCAAATCGCCGTTATCATTTCTCTAGCCACGAACGGACAATATGACATCTCTTGTTTTACACGTGGTGTTTGTCAGGTAGTTTATCGCTAATTTATCAAGATGGTTGGTTTTCGTAACATGGGTTCAGAAAAGAAATATCTCCAAAATTTTCAGTCAGTCTGTCGCCTCCAAGGAAGAAATGAAAACACTTCTGGTTCCCATTCATTTTCCTTCGGTACATATGTCTGATAACATAATTTTATTATCGCAGGGCAAAGTTGTTTCGTCGAAAAGAATTCAGTCAGCTGCACTGCTTGGGTGGGATTTAATTTTCATATCTGTCCAAAGTCCTTTTTAGTGGCCTGTTTCTCGTTACTTATCGAAATAGCATTTTCACTTGAATTTTTTCTGGGCAGTGGTCCAGCCATTCGTGTACGCACCTAGATAACATAGCCGTTATCAAAACACATCTGGTTCCTTCTTTCTTTTCCTTTTCTTTTTTTACTCAGAAATTCCCTGTCATTGTAATGACACACTTTTTCACTTGTTACTTATCAATATTTTCATTGTCTCTTAGGCCATGTGTGTGGCTGTTTTATCACCTACGATTCGTCTCGCCTTTCTTTCTGCCTTCCTTTCTTTCTCTTTCTTTCTCTGCCTCGTAAATGGTGTCACAAATAGTACTTGCTCGATAATACTTGCTCGAAAAGTAATCCGTATAGTGATCGAGAATAGAGAAATAGTATAGTGAATAGAGTAGAGAATAGCGGTCCTTATAGTGATAGAGGAGAAATAGCGATCGTTAGTCGTCAGCTACTTCCTACATATATGCGTATCCTCTATGTTCACGTGGTCTACTTAATTCAGTTAAGGGATCACCTGTGTTTGCTCACTGGCGATCTATGTTCAAAATCAAGTGTCGGCAGCGACACTTTATTCCTATATAACATTTATTAATTGACGAATTAAAAATTATTTTTATATTTAGTTCTTTATAAATTGGTAAATTATAAATATTGCATTGCATTAGTTATAATTGTGTTAGTTTTCATAATGTTGTAAATTATTCTTGTAAATAAACAATCTAATAGTGTTTAATATTTTGTAGTAAATTCTCCAGAACAAAGAAAACGTATAAATTCACTATCTTCATATGTTTAGGCTT